CTAAAAATATTGTGTAAGAGTGAGTCTCTACCCTACCACTCATACAGAACATATATTCATCATAACACACATCTCATTAGAATTAAAGAAAATATCATGATATTGTGTATATCATAGTGTCACATAAAGCAAGTTCTCATCTCAACACATATTATATTCCATAAATTCACAATTTCTTTTCATTATCCACGTTCACCGCACCCTATAGCCATAATTATCCGATACTTCTATCCCGAGATTTTACACTTCCATGTAAATAGTCGTCGGATGGCCCAATGCAATATAGATTCAATGCATGCAATAAATAGCCCCTTAGCAAAGGTAATGGTCATGAGTCAAGTCGAAAAATGACTGTACGGCCATGTGATGTATTCGTACACAATATTCCATGCACAACCCTGAATGTCACTTACCACCCTGCATTTTCCCAAGATATTCCATATCGTCTCCATCCTCTATCCCCTAATGTATCTCCGTAATTATTTACATCATATCCATTTCTATCTCATACTCTTTTTGAGTATATTCACATGTTCACATATGCTATTTCTCATGTTCACACATATTTTTCATTATATTTCCACATACCTTTCATCATATACATCAAAACATGACATATTCACAATACACATCATTTTTACATGAACCACAAGATATTCAAACATAAAACATTTATTTCTTTGTAAATTTCATATCACAAAATCACATCATATCAACCATCCTCAATATAGCTTATCATGCACTATTTGAACATAATAACATATTTTCACCATACAACTTCATATATTCATCATAAAATCATATAAACAACTAATTATTCTTACCTTTCACCGATTATTTTCACAAAACAAGAATTATTCCACATATAATCACACATATAACAAAATCTATGAGAACACATATAATAAACATAACAAAATGATAAAGTAGAGCCCCTTTACCTTAAGATAAGGATTTCTCAAAGATTTAATTGAAGATTTTGCTCTAAAATCAAAGTTTATCCTAAAAATCATAAGATACCTATAAGAAATTTGAGATGAAGAGAAATGAGTGATAAATCTAGATTCAAACTTAGAGAAACTTACTTTGAATCACTTAAAATGAACATACGATCCAGATTTGAAGAGAAATCTAAGATTAAGAGGTTTAGTATAAGGAAAAATGGTAGTATATGGCCTTGAGTCTTTCTAGAACTTTTGAGAAGTGTAAATAATGAAAAATTTCGTGCAAGGTCCCTATACACAGAATTTTGAAAAAAAAATTAGATATTGTTCACGTCGAAATTACTGTTCACATTGCCTTACTGTTCATGTTAGAATCACTATTCATGATTGAATTACTGTTCACTTTTTTTTATAATAAATAATTTCATACTCCATCTAAATCTATTCTAATTACACTTAATATCAAATAATTCTTTAATTAATATTTAAAAATACTTGGTGTTACATAAGACATTTCAAACAATTTTGTATCTTTATACACAGAACTAAACATAATACAAGATACAATATATAATATTTTGTACTAAAATTCAAACACAATACACAGACACTACTCATTGTGTCTTTGTCTTCAATGTCCAAAGACATCATCCAAACACTACCTTAGAGAACTTGAGACACCTTTTATGTACTGCAATAACCAAATGATATTTGACCTTAACAAATTAGAGTTAATTTCGTTTAAGGATAAAGTGAAACAAAGATCAAATTTTTTGATGTATAGATGATTATAATATACCTTTAGATAAAAAAAATGACATATAAAATTCTATTAAGCTAAATATTCATATGAAATTCAAAATTTTATTGGATAATTATGAAAGTTGGTATATTTCTTGAAAATTCATTTAATAGTCAAATTATTAGGTAAAAATATTAGCCTGAAATATATAGATAATAAACTTAAATGTGTAAAGGGTTAAAAATAAAGACTTAAAGATTCTAGATTTTAATAAAGATTTTTTTAGTTAAGTTTAAAAATATGAAAAATTATTGACTTATTTTGTTTGAAGAGCCTTGGATCATAATCTTTTGGTAAAATGATGGAGATCTCTTTTTAAATTTAAAATAAAAAATTTGAAAAGATTGCAGTCTAGGTTAAGAGTCCTAATCTTTCTCAAAAACTGTATAATAGAAAATTGTTTTGGAAAATAAGATTGTATTTAGGATTAACGCTAAAAATTGATAATAAAATTTCAATCCTAATAATGGGTAAATTTGTTAGGGTCTATATTAAAATTAAACTAAGACGTAAATTGCTCCCAACTTTATAAGTGCTAGGCCAATAATTCAACATTCAATTATATTTAATTTATTTCTTTTTGTGAGATATATAGGTACAAACAAGAAAAATGCAAAGATCATAGTAAGCAAATTTAAAATTTAGAATTTAATTTAAAATACTTATGAAACAAGAAAATGAAAATAATAATAATAATAATAAGAAGAAGAAGAAGCTAGAACTAGACTTGACAAGAAATTTTTTTTTAAAATAACTTTTATTGATTTTAATATTTTCTCATCTTTTAAAATATAATAAAACAATTATTACTTTTATGTTAAATAAATTTGTTAAAATTTTATAATAATTTTACACAGTTATTTTAAGGTAACCATTGCACAATCATTCTCACAATTTTTAGATATTAAATTTATAATAATCACTGTTTTTTTTTTTCATAATAGTTCTTCTAATAAATTTTTGAAAACATAAATGTCATAAACCAAATAATTATTGTATAATTAATTAATTTTACATTTAATAATTTTATTTTATTTTATTATATGTTATATTACAAAGCATGATATTTATATCAAAGTGCTATTAATTTTACTTATTTTAATAGATTAAATTTATTTAAATTAAAAAAAATTTAATATATTTTTTAGATATATAAATTTAAAATGATTGTTTTTTGTTCAGCAGTAATTTTCTGAACTAAATTTTAGTTATATGAAAACCTATACAAGTAGTCAGTACATTTTAATTAATGTATTATTTAATGGTTTTAGGTATATTATTATTAGTTGTATTTAGTAAATATAGCAATTACTATCAATATGTAGATAATTGTGTTTCAATTTTGCTACATACAATTAAATTAATTTATAATTATAATTCAATAATTAAATCGGCAAAAATATATTTTATATAAAGGTATAGATTCGTATCAATTGTTTTCTAATAATTCTATTTTATTAAGTTTTTGTGAATTTAACTGTTCAATTGTAATTATATATTACTAAAATTTATCTTAATTAAATAATTATAAAAATATAATTAAATGGTCGTTATTTTTATATATATTTCAAAAGTATATAATACATTAATTTTAATGTATAAATATGATATCAAATAATTTAAAATTTTATAAATATGATAAGAGCTTTAATCTAATAATTAATTTTTAAATTATTGTTTAATAAAAATTTATTATCTACTATAATTCTTGGTATAAATTACACTGGTAGAATTTGAAAGCATATATAACCTGCCTCAATTAACTTGGTGAGGAGAAGATTGGTATCTGACCGAAGCTACCATGCATCTTACCTAGACAAAACTAGTCTAGAGATCTAATATGCATCGATAGCAGATAATGTCAAAAGCTTGGTAGCTAGGTTTTATGAAAAAGTACATACAAATCACACACTCAAATTATTCTAAACAAGCTACTCTGACCCCCTTTTATTTTAACCATTTGGTGTATATGGAAAGCTCGTAACCTACTTTATCATAATGTCAAGCCTAATCTTATTCTACTTATGATTGTCTCTCCTAACCCAAGTTGAATATGGATGAGCTTGATCTTGATCTTGATGGCTACCTTAGCTTTACTTATTTTGTTGTACTTTCATATACAAGTGTTTTGCTGTCTTCTAGGGTTCTAACTTAGATTGCTAGCTCACATTGACAAGCATTCTTTTCTAGGCTTTTATGTCTCCCAACCTTGTTGTATTGCTGTTGGACAAAAGAAAAAAAAAAACATTTTTAATTTGAATTTATAATTTAAAAGTTAAAGTTCAAACCTTATATTTATTATACATTTTTTGAAATTCAGTTAGAATCGATCCATCTTATTGGCTTTACTCAAAATTCATGATTTCAATAAAATTATAACAATATTTTTTTTATTTTAAAACTCTCTCTCTCTCTCTCTCTCTCACACACACACACACACACACATATATAACTTAAACTTCAAAGTAATAATTATTTTTAAAAATTAATATTATTATCAAATTTTTAACAAAGGTGCATTAATAATATTAAACAATGTAACTTTTAATAAATTTATTATCACTATTATTATTTGAAAAATTTAAATTCAAATTTAAAATTATATTTAATAATTTTATAATTATGGTAAAAAATAGTCATCATATTAATTTATTATAAATATAAACAAGAAATGTTAAAATGATAAATTAGTGATAAGTGAATTTTAAAAATAATTGTTTAACTTTATTCTAATTTAACGTTTGAGATAAAAAAGAATTAAATTATTTAATAATTTTTTATTTATTAATTTTTATACACATTAAAACTTATTATTATTATTATTATGAGAAAAAGTCTAAAATTCAAATGACTCAAATGGCATCGTGGACAGGGTGTAATCGTGCACGAAGATATCCAAAGTGTGGGGCTATATCCGTCAAAAACAAAAACGTTAAACGAGTTATTGGAAAAACAGCCACAAGTCATGTCAATAAAAAAACCGTCTCTGCATTTTCTTTAACCTATGACTACAAGGAGCGGTTTCCTTGTACACCGTGTCCGCTGTAGTACTAACCATCCAAAACCGCTATCACCCCACACACTAGTCCACCGTAACGTCCATGGTCCCTCATTATCAACCATCAGATTAACACATCAGCACGCTCGACGGTCCCCGCGAGACACCGTGAAAAACAGTATATAATCTTTAAATTGTTTTTGGCACAAGAAGATAATCTTAAATTTGAAAAGGAAATAAAATAAAATATTATTCTAATTAGATTATAATTTAATTTAGAGTGAAAAACAATTAATTGGAGGAGTTTATACTTAATGGGTATTCCTACAAGGGCGTGTACTTAAATGAAATCCCTCCTCCTCATCCATTAGAAGAGGGGAAGGGAGAGTAGCATCGGATGAAAGTGCGAAAAACCACACCAAACGGCTATAATTGACGTTACAAGAGTTAGAGAGGGAAACAGAGAGGCTCAAAGATCGTAGCTTTAGTGGGTTTTGTTGCAATTTTGGCATCAAGGGGTTGATCTAGTTTCAATCTTTTGTTAGTGATAGATAGAGGAGTGTTGTTACTCATAACCCAACAACAACAAAAACTTTGTTTTGTTTTCTTAGGTTGTTCTGTTTCACCATGTCTGAGGGGTATTATAATTCGAAGAAGACTGATGATATCTGCGATAATGTTTGTGGACAGGTACTTTTTTTTATTTTTGCTGTTTTCTTACCCTTTTGGGTTTGTGTTTTTGTTTAATTCCACCCTACTCTTGTTTTTCATTTTTGGCCTTTTCGGGTTTTTTTGGGTTACGGTTTTAAAGAGTTTCCTCTGTTGGGTTTTGTTGGCAATGCAAAATGGGAATTTGAGTTAAGCTTTTCTTTTCTTTCTGTGTATAATTTTTTTTTTTTTGTTTTTTTTTTTGTTTGTGTTGAGTATTGTCTTTTCACCGTTCAATTTAATTTTGTTGTACGTTTTTCAGTGCTTCCCTTGAAGTTTTTGGTAATGGGATTTATGGATGGAAGGAAAGAATTTTCCCCCTTAACTGGCTAGTGTATTTGTATTAGAGATATCAAATATGATTAATTTGTCGATTACTGTTTCGAACTTACGGTTTATGGGTTTATGCTTTGATTGATAGGCCGTTGTTCTAATTTTTTGAGTTCATAATTTCTCCGCGGATTTCATGCTTTTGAACCTTGAACCTCTGTAGAGGTTTCTGAATTCAACTTTGAATGCGTTATTCTTCACTCTTTGTTCTGAACTTTTTGTCTATGTTTTCTCTGTTTATCAGAATGATGGCTGCTTCAAATTTTATGTATTTCCCTGAATACCTTTTTCTGGATTTTCCCCAATTCACATTTGTATGTGAAAATTGTAAAAATAATATAAGTTTTATTTTAGTTTTTTGAGTTGTTTTCATTTGATTTCCATGTCAAATATGTGCTTAATGAGGGCTGGACTTGCCAGTGTTTTAATCAGTCTATTTTGGGCTGTAGATAGAGTCAGTGTGTATGTCATTATGTGCAGTGAAGCATGTGAGTTCATGATCATCAATTCATGTATCTTAGGGATTCTTTTGTTTTCTATGCAGCAGGGTACTCGTGGAGTGCTGAGCCTGTCTAGACTCAAGTGTATTTTACGGGGATTGGACTTGAAGACTTATGTTATTCTATTTATGGTCATTCCCGTAGGCATCTTCGGTCTCTATTTACATGGGCAGAAAATCTCCTACTTTTTAAGACCACTGTGGGAATCTCCTCCAAAATCTTTCCAAGAAATCCCTCACTATTATCACGAGAACGTGTCGATGGAGTCTCTCTGCAAGCTTCATGGGTGGCGAATTCGAGAGTCACCAAGACGAGTCTTTGATGCTGTTCTGTTTAGCAACGAAGTTGACATGCTTACCATCCGTTGGAAAGAAATATATCCTTATGTGACTCAATATGTACTTCTTGAATCGAACTCAACATTTACTGGATTTGTCAAACCGTTGCTATTTGCGAGCAATAGGGACAAGTTCAAGTTTGTTGAATCACGGCTGACATATGGGATGATTGGAGGAAGGTTCAAGAAAAAGGAAAATCCTTTTATTGAAGAGGCGTATCAAAGAGTTGCCCTGGATCAGCTTCTGAGGATAGCAGGCATTGAAGATGATGATCTCCTGATAATGTCTGATGTTGACGAGATTCCAAGTGCGCACACAATCAATCTCTTGAGATGGTGTGATGACATCCCTCCAATTCTTCACCTTCAACTGAGGAACTACTTATACTCTTTCGAATTCTTTCTGGACAAGAAAAGTTGGAGGGCATCGATCCATAAATACCAGACTGGTAAGACTCGGTATGCTCATTACAGACAGGCTGATGTGCTGTTGTCAGATGCTGGCTGGCATTGCAGCTTCTGTTTCCGACATATCAGCGAATTCATATTTAAGATGAAAGCTTACAGCCATTATGACCGTGTGAGGTTCCCTCATTACCTGAACCCTGACAGGATTCAGGATGTGATATGCAAAGGAACTGACTTATTTGACATGCTTCCTGAGGAGTATACATTTAAGGAGATCATTGGGAAATTGGGACCTATTCCTCATTCTTATTCAGCAGTACATCTACCAGCATATTTGTTGAATAATGCGGACAGATACAAGTTCTTGTTGCCTGGTAACTGCAAGAGAGAAAGTGGCTGACTTTGAATGGTATAGGTGGTTACTTCTTTAATGTGTATTATTACACCAAAAAGGGGCTATATTGAATGATTTATGGCTATGAATGTAGGTCATTTTTTAGAGGGGTATTCAGGGAAGAATTTGACAGGAACCTCTGTATATCCAATTTGAAGGACTGGGGTGTTAAACCGGTATTGGGGGGTGGAGACACTTGAGATTCTCAAGTGAGGAGGGTGAGGGAAATGGTCTTTTATGATGATGGCCTTTGGGCAAGCTTTTGTGTACCTTCTTCTCTTAGGGAGGGTATGCATAAACCCCCCAACCTGCCTAATGGTAGCATGACATTTTCCCAAATCTCTTGGGCTGTTATACACATAGTCTAAACACTTTGGTTGTTAACTGATTCATCTTTAATTTAATTTCTCGACTGTATTTAATTTCAAGTGATGCTGTAGTACACACTCCAGTGCCCAGTTTGAACCATCAGTGGATTCAGTACAACCTCTCATCTTAAAAGTTGGAATTTCTCTCATTAATAAAGACTGCATGTTTGAAAAACTCTTAAATTTAGGAATATAATTGTTTGGTTTCGAAATTGATCTCTAAACATTATGAAATCAAGTAATTGTTTGTTTAAATAAATTATAAATCAAACGCGCATACATGTTTAATGTGAACTTGACTATTTCCAATTTCTAACAATTAGATCATGTAATGAATTGTATTTTCATGTAAATTGTACTTGTGAAATGTTAACAGAGTTACTAGACACAATTATCTATTTAGTTTGTATAGTTGATTAATAAAATATTTGTTTTACTAGATTTAACAAATACAAAAATATGGAATTCAGGTTGAGTCCATGAAGGCCAGCATGTAAGTTTACGTTTGGATTCATATTTAGTTGGCATGACACACATTTCAAAGCTCAATTTTGTGACAAGCAGAGAAATTGTTGGTTCTATTCAAACGTTTGTTTGATGAATTTGGAATGGAAAATACAAACACAACATTAATATATTTACAAGGGAAAGAATTTTATCAAGTTAGTGGAAGTTTAAAAATTTTTAAATTTTAATTTAAGTCTTTCAATTAATTTACATATAATGATAAGTAAAATAATAAATTATAATTTATTATATATAAGTTAAACGAAAAGTTTTAAGAGTTGATACTGGTCCTGTTAATAATGTATTTTTATCGTTGTATTGTATATTTGGCATGATTAATAATAAAGAAATATTTATTGACTTTTAAGTAACATGCAGAGAGCATTATAGTCTGTAAGGCACTTTTCCCCGTTATTTTGTATTGCAAATGGAGCTGCGTTGACTTGGAAGAGAGTAATGTACCGCACTGGTTGGGCTTTCCCTGGAAATTGACTTGTTGTTTCCGAAGACTTGCTGTAATGAAATGTTTTTTCACCACCCCGGGAGTAAAGACCACGTTTTAAAATAACTATATTGAATATATAAGTAAAAATACTAATTGAAATATATAAAATATATTAAAAGCCTTTTATTTTTATTTATTTATTTTATAATTTGTATAAATCAATGATATATTATATTAGGGGAAATTTTGAGATAAAACATTTAACTTAAGCAAATACGTGTTTGTGAGTTTCTTATTGCTGAACAAGTCATTTTCCTCAACATGGTTTCCATGAGCTTACAAATACGTCTTTGTTGCCGTTTCCGTCGGATATGTCCGTTAAGCTCGAATATTTTATTATGCGCTCTTCTTTTGATACCACATAGAAAATTATCTAACTTCTTTAAAATGAAGGCGTAAGAGTATAGAATTGTTGTAATGGTTAATTGAATCGATTGTTGAAATTACAATTAATTATATAGATATGTATTATTATCAATAGTTTTAATTGCACATTTTGTAGAACTATCTCAAATCGTGAATGTTTTGAAAAGATGAACAGAACTTGAGAAATTGCCATGTAACGATGAAATTGTATTACAAGGCTTAAGAAATAAAGTGATACAATGATGAGAAAGAAAAGTCAATGACACAAAATATTCCTCTGACAGTTAATTGTTAATAGGAAAATAAATTGAATGACACTATAATAATTAAATAAATAATATATATAATTACGAATCACACAACATTTTAATTTTAAAATACTGTTTAGACAGAGCAAGCATGCACGTATGGAAGCTTTAAAAATAATACAAGATTCTGATAAGTCTTGCACTCTTATTTTTTTAATTATTTTTCTTTGTTTTATATAAATTTTTAATAAAATTTAATTAAAATAGGTAAAGAATATCAATAATTTTAAAAAAGTTTACATTTATATAAATTTAAGATTAGTAAAATTTTTGAAACTTTACTCATAAGTCTCATTTATAATAAAGATAAAAACTGAATTTTGCCATTTAAATTCTTAACTACAATCCAATATAAATTACAAGTAAAATAATTATTTATTGAATGTTATAAATAACTCTCAGTTCGCTATTTACAATAAGATTTATTGAAATATGTATAAATAATTACATATTCTAAAAATTGACATTTAAAATAGGTACATATCATTTTCAATTTTTATTAGTACTAAAAAAATTATTACAAAATCAGAATAATTTAAATCCTAATAGAATAAATCCTTTTTTACAATACAACTAAGAATATGATTTTAAAACAGATCAATCTTCATTGATCATACTATTCTAGTTTTTTTTTTTTTGTTTTTTCATTTTTTCATTTTTATTAGCTGAAAATAATTATAAGGGTGAGTATTCTCAGCTCACCAAATTCTCAGTTTATAAAACAATAAAACAATATAGAAAACATTAATCCAATATGATATGTACTAAAATAAGAACAACTTATTCATAAAAATTTCATTCATAATCACTAAGACACAAAATTTCACTCTCAACCAAATTCTGATTATACAATCCTTGAATTTATGTCACTTTAATCATTTCAATTTTGATAGATCTATCATTTATCGTACTCTCAGTACTCACAAACCCCTAAATCGTTGTCAACATGTTTTTCTAGTCACGAAGGAGTTAGCATAGATAGTCATCAATTAACCACCACACACGGATACAATGTGTGTTATATGGCCCTATATGAGGTCATGTGATGCTTTCGCTTTCAATTGTGTACATATTAGTGAATAATATTCACCACTCTTATTTCCCTAAATTTTCAAAATGGACTCCTTATTCCACACCTCCAAAGTGTATCTTTGCAACTATCCATGCAAGAACTTTACAATGGCAATTTGCACTGAAACTTATCCATATGAATACTTAATAGTGGCATTTACATTGAAACTTATCCATACGAAAACTTACAGTGGCAATTTACACTGAATTCTTTTATTCCACATATATTCATCAGTCTTTCATAGCATACATTTTCACCTTGATCAATATGTCGTAATACATGTATTATAATCATACCAATCAATGTGTCATGGCATATATGTTATAATCGCACCTATCGATGTATTACAACACATATATTGTAATCACACCAATCAATATGATAATATATATATATATATATATAAATCACAATTTCACATACATTTCTAAGCACACAAATTTTTATTTTCATAATTCCCTTTCTCATGCAAATAATGTCATATTTTCTCAGCAATTCAAAATATCATATTACATAAATCAATTCGATGTGCCGAAGGTCGATTACCTTTAGAATCAATTCAATCGTACAATTTAAAAATACATTGAAATTAAATCACACACTATAGTTACATTGCTGAAGATCACACTTTCTTGGTCTTAATGAAAATCACTTATCCTAGAATTTAGTATTTCCTATTTTTATTCTCCAGAGCATACATTTTTCAAAATTAATAGTTTACACATATGATAATCAATAACAAAATTCATAAAAGCTTCTTAAAACATTGTTTTGCTCATAACTTTTACTATAAAATTATGTTTTAGCAAAAATCTTTGTCACAAACCATTTTTATAAAAGATCATGCATTCTTGCTCCTATTAAGATTTATTTATGAGATAAAATAAATATAATGCACAAGGTATAATCTTTTGAAAGTAAATTTCAACATTTTCACAAAATAATAAAGCCCATGTAACACCCTCAATTTTGTTGCTCTTATGTGGAAAAAATTGGAATTTTGGTGCTGAGTTTCTCACTTAAGCGAGATAGGTCTCGCTTAAGTGAGATAGATCATTTTAGAAAAAGACATTCTAGAAATTTCTCGCTCAAGCGAGAAACGGTAAGGTTGACCCAATTGTCCTCTTGTCCAAGCGAGAGAAAATCTCGCTTAGGCGAGAAGTGGCTCGCCTAGACGAGGAGTCACAAGGAAAACAGGGAAGTCTCTGAACTCAATCTCGCTAAGGCGAGATCAAGCTCACCTAGGCGAGATTGTCTCTCACTCATGTGAGAATGTTCTTGCTCAAGTGAGAATAGCAGAAAAAGGAACAGTTTCACTGTCTAGTTATCTCGCTCAAGCGAGGAAGGCTCGCCCATGCAAGGGTAGAGCTCGCTCAAGCGAGATCGCACGAGTTTGGAAGAGTATTTAAGGAACTCCACCTGTGAAAACATTCATTTCTCACCAAACAACCTTTTCTTCTTGTTTTCTCTGTTCTCTCTCCTTTCTCTTTTAAGGGAGAACTCTCCCTAACTCCAAATCTATTCCAGATCTATTCCAGATCTAAGTTCAAACATCTATTCCATTCAAAACCCAGTAAGTTTCTCATAGTTTAAATCTCCAGCTTTATCCTTTTTCTTCGGTTATCTCTCTCTCAATAGGCGTTTACCTTGTAATAATTAGGAAAATCTCTACATTTTGGACAAAATCTTCCATCGAAAGTGTTGTACCTTTGCTTTGGACCTCAAGAAGGATTTGATATTAGAGACTTGTTTCTAAGTAAGGGGAATTAGAGACTTGTTTCCAAGTAAGGGGAGTAAATTCTGGACCCTAACTGTTATTATGTGTCTTGGATAAAAACATCAATACTTTATGCTGATTAGTAAAACCTTCATAAATTGGGATTTTTAGAGTACAAAAGTTTGATGATTTATTTTTTAAAACACCTAAATGGGATTTTATAACAAAATTTATGAGTAAAACAAGCTTTTAAGAAAAGTTGTGATATTGATGTTAATATGTATGTATAATTATTGTTGTATTATGACTTTGAACAATAGAGGATCAAAGGTTTTAAACCCCAAGATAAACGATTTTATAAAAGATCGAGAAAGTGTGATCTTCGGCAATTTCTCTATGGTTTAGCTTAATATGTGTTTAATTGTGTGATTGGTTTGAGACCGAGGGTGACTGACCTTTGGCACACTTCATTGATGTGGATAGTATTAGATAGGTGAATGAATTGTCAATACAAATTGTGTATTGTAATGAGTGTAAGTTTGTATTTGATAATCGATGAATGTGGAGATTGATGAATTCATGTCATTATGAAAGATATTTGATTGTTTGAATAATAATGTGTATTTACTCAAAATTTATGAATAAAGAGCTTATGTGAATAAGTGTGCATGTTGAATTTAAGTTGTTTATATTA